GTACTGAATAATCGAAAAAAACACTTGCCTGCGTTTCTAATTAACATCTGTATCGGGGAAGCTTATACCTCACGGTTATGTCACGTAACCATAATTAATTAATTGCTGACCATACTAGTAATACTGCTCATTTGTTGAGTACATTTTACGCGATTAGTCCGCAGATAGGTAAATTTCTTGTTCCAGTGAGCGCATCTTCTTCTTCTGAACCGCTACCTGGAACTGGCCCGTTTGCTTTTATCTGGGTTCAAGTCAGATTTTTGCTGGAAGTTTCAGGCTGTCGCCAAAACGCGGTCTTCGGCAATTTTTACAATGTCCTGCCATTAACATCTTCCAAAGTTATTGGTCTGATTTGTGCACGTGTTTTTAAATATACTGCTACTCGCTAAGCATCCGTTTTGAGGACTCTGAATTGAACACTAAGACACACTGGGGCGAGCGTGTCTCGTAAACTGCTCTGCTGCCTTCCCTTCATTCAGTGTTTAGGAGCTTGAAATGTTAATCGAAATTCCAAAGTGTGTTTTCAAGTAAGAATGATTACTTAGGTATTAATACTATTAATCATTGTACAAAATATTTCCAAAATACTTTCGTTACTCCATGATGTTGTCTTTGAATACAGGTCTTTTTGGCCGTCTGCAAAAACCGCAATTTGTTAAAAAGAACTGCTTTATTGGCGTAAGTCTTTCCCAATGGTTTTCGATTCGTCCATAAATATAAAAAACACTCTAATGGAAGCTGCAATCCTCCTTAATGCTTGTAATCGAAGAAATCTTAACTTTGGGTCTTAATGTTGTTGGATTGGTTACTAAACCTGAAGCCAATATGCTGTTTATATAAAACTTATGGAATACCGTCATGTGTGTTGGCTTTATTGTATGTTTCATATGCAACATCAATGAGTGGCGAGTATGGAACAATTTGGATGAAGTTTGCATGATATTAGCAAATCTCATAATTGCAGACATTCTTTAAACCATGCCATACGATTTCTTGAAGGATATGATGTAACATAGACAGCATTTACCGCAAAATGACTATACGATATAACATTTGCATAAATCAGTTTTAAAAAAAACACACGAGGATCTGTGAAGGCACTAAAAATCAATGGAAATACACAAACAGCAAATAAAACCATTGGACAATAGGTGTCGTTTTGGCAGACGGCTAAGAAGAAACGCGCACAAAAGTCGGCATCTGGGCATGTTTTGGAGAATTTGGTCTTGTGCTTTATTTTTACCAGTAAAAAATCGAATTAAATGAAAATCCCGAATCGAATAAAAGAAATACTGCGCGAGATCAGTCAATAACAGTTATAGAATTTCCCGCGGTTTCTTATGCCTTGATTATTATCACAGATATCCATTCAAACAACCTCTCTCGAAGCATCGTAGGAGTCCCAAGAGTCGAGGCCTTATGTTACAGCATTCTTGACCGGTAGACTTACGCGGATATTTCCGGTGTAAACCTTATGTGTCAGCAGTTACATGACCAGCCTACCGTGTATTTGCAATCGTAAAACGGGACCTAGAAGTTTACTAAGATATTGAAGTGGTCTTCGAGACAATGCAAAAAACAGTCATTTCGACGGCAACAAAACGTTATCACTATTTTAATGCAAGGACAAAAACCAGCCAGGAAGGCCAATTTTCTCTTCATTTTACCTTCTACCGATCTAGAGCACATGGAAATTTGCCAGTAAAATCGTATTAAAACACTTTTAAATAGGTGGCTCATTAACCAATTTTTGCAATTCACGGAAGCATAGTCTTGGTAGACTTCTGTCATGCCCTTTCGTTTGTTAAATGGCGTTTTATATTTGCATGCGTCTTCAAGTATTATGCAAACAGTCATTTGCGTAAAGAATAGCTTTCAGTACCTCATTACTTTGAAAAGTGCTTTCGAACAATCTTGCTTTGAGCGTTGCCACTAACCCTTAGCACGGAAACTCGCCTGTTGGACGGTCCATTGTCCCAGGAAATTTCCGTCACTTGAAAAAGACGGCGGTTGAACGCGTATCCTACCGGACGCCTGCAAAAACTACACTTTCTGATAAATGATTGCGGTCGGGGCCTGTTGAAACTTTGCACGAAAAAACATTCAATATCTGTTCAATGGACGGCAATACAGGCAAATCGACGGAGTGGCAATGAGAAGTCCACTAAGTCCAACCCTTGCCGACATTTTTGTAAGTCATTTAGAAAAAGCTTTTCAGCATAATTGAATATGGAAGGACTGTACGAAAGATATGTCGACGATATTTTTGATATTGTTGATAACGACGACGAACCCAAAGACCTACTTGTTGCCATAAACAGTCTCCATACAAAGATTTAATTCACAATTAAAAAAGTAGTGCAACAAGCTTTCATTCCTGGATGTCCTCATGACTAGACAGGAAGATGGTTCAATAAGATGATCCGTTTTCCACAAGAATACATGGAAAGGCGAATCTCTGCACTTTTTCAGCTTTGTGCTGATACAACGAAAGCAAAATGTGGTTTATACTTTATTCAAAAGAGCAAAAATCGCTCGCCCTATTAAAACATCGAATTATGAAAGTTCTTGCCTAAGAACAACCCCGCTTAAGCTGGAATATCCAACACGATTCATCAAAAAGTATAGCAACACTTTACGGCCAACATAACGGAGCAATTAATTCGCAAAAAAGCCCTTTGAAATATCCTTACCCTTTAAAGGCGACAACATCTTAAATACCACCAAACGGCTATTGAGATGCGCCACTGAAAGAACATAAGACTCAGCTGAACTCATATTCTGCAGCCCTACTAAGACTATCCAAGTGCCACGGGCGAAGGACGTCTTGCCATTGCACGCCGGGTCTAATTGCGTTTACGAATTTACATGCACTTGTGAATGCAAGTACATTGCGCGAACGTAAAGGCAACTGGCAGCCAAGTCAGTTGAGCGGCTGCTTAAATAACTTCTAAAGCAGGAGAACAAGATTCCATCGTCTTCTCTTACAAAACACCTCCATGATAGCGGTCATTTGGTTGAATCAAAAATATCTTTTCGAGTATAAGCTAGAGCACGAATAACTCGGTTACTTCGCTACCTAGAGGCAGTCTGCATACGGCTGAAGGAACCTACCTATGTAAACAGTTAAACCGCGTGATCAACCTCAGCTTGCCCTAAGAGATCTGAGCCCTTTTGATTTACGAAATCGCTCGGCGCGTTAACTTCTCAATTTCCTTTCCTATGCTGCGTTTTGAAGTTTTCATTTTATTGATTTGTCTGCGTGCAGTATACGATGATCTTCATGTTTTACAGTGACTTTTCTCTTGAAGTTCAAAACTCTGGATCTTTTTTTACTTGTTCTCTCTGTTGTGAAACAACAGGCTGCAGTTGATAAGCCATCGCGAAACTGACTGGTACCAATACATTTTGCTATATATGCCCGCTTTAAATCAATTTTGTGGAAATATTGCTTCATATTTTTTTTGTTCTCGTCGATTTTTAATGTCCGTACAAATCCAGATTAATTTTATAGAAAACAGGCGATATGGCTTATATTTTGTTTGCATTTGGTAGCCACTGAATTCTTCATTAAAGATTATACCTTAGGAAAAGGCGTCTGTTGGTTTTAAGACAGTTTTTTCTACGTTCGCAAAGTGTTTAGTGTAAGGAAATTCATACATTTCTAAATGCTATAAGGAGGACGTCAAATAATTTTTAGCTGTAGAAATACGATGCGGCCAGATGAAGATTTTACGATCTTTGAAATTTTCTAAACAGAATTCTTATATAAATCGAGATTTACTCCCTCTTAATGGATAAAATCAGAATAAATCATAATTCGGTACCAAATATTACAAGAAAAAGCATTTTTGTGCTCACTTCATCTTGAATGTCTTTGTGTCTGCACATGCATTACAAATCATTGCAAAAAACTTTTCTTAATTTTTTAGTTATTTTTCCAAATTTTGATTTCTGCAGTCGGCCGAATAAAAAGTCAATCAAATTCCGACCCCTGGCGTGAATGAATGATAGTTAAAGTACACTGTACGGCCATTAATATTTCAGCCTTACTTAAATAGTCGCTTCTAATCGAAAACGCCTTAAAGAATTTTGATGAATACTTCACGAAACAGCCCATATACTGTAAATGCCATTCAGGCTTCCAAATGCCATTGATTTCCGTCAAACTCATCCTCAATGCGTACTCTTGTCTGCCTTGCTCCAAGGAAGTCGGCAATTTCACAGAAGCGGTTGCCGAATAGATGTGATGCTAACCTGCCAGGAATGTGTTGTTTAATCGTCAGATAACATTTAATACTATTCCTCTCCGGAAAGCAGTTCCTCATTTCGATTAAACATCCAAATTATACTTTAAACTACGCAGTTATTGAAACACTCGATCAGTTTAGCGGAGCACGCTGACGCTGTGGGGATGCGATTTGCGACACAAAACAATCCATGGCACCAATTTCTGCATCCTAAGTCGATAAAAGAATCACGTGTAAAGTCAATTTTGAGCCTGTATTGACTAGACACAACGAGTATTTGAGCTAGCTTTAGATACGCAGACAAGCCGGATCCAAATATGCCCTGTCGGAGAGGGACTGCCTTGGTTATTCGAATATCACTTGAGAGTCGATTCTTCTACCTCGGTTCTTTGTTTTGATTTTGCATACTTTATGTCGCTGGCCACGAACATAACATCCAGCGAATGATTATGCTTAAATTTACCCTCGTAAATGTTTATTTTAGTGAACTTTTTTATAACCCTGAACACTTTTTGAAGACATAAAAGTAATTCTGTCGAATTTCCCAGCCATCCAGCTAATCAGCTGATACAAATACTCCATTCAGCTGCACAAACTCAGTCTAGCTTAACGACTTATGTTGCTATGTCATATATTATGAATGGCTCGAAGATATTAACTAACTCCATCAGTGTATATTCACAGACATTTTTAACGGATACAAAGAGCACACGTATTCAAAAAACGTCGAGTCAGCGTTATTCGTCATACTCAATGCAGAAAACGTCCCAGCAACTGAAGGATTGCCAGCCAAATACACAGTGAAGATGTTCCTCCCCAAGCAGTCAATGCAAGATTGGCTTCTTGAAAACCCTCACGCCGTCTGACATCTGATTGCATGGCCCCAACGATCATGAAAGCGAAAAAAGAGGCGGAGTTTAATTGATATAAATGAGATTTGGGTTAGTAGAATGAAAACAAAACGCATTCAAGAGCCCTAGACGCTGGAACACGGGAGATTCGAACTCGTTTCCAGTGTGTCCAGGCCATCCGTGTCTGAACCAACCGCACTTTCAGCTGAGATCCAGCGGCAGTCCCTTACGATTGGTAATATGCGATGTCTAGCCGTAAAACAGTCGGCACTGAACTTACCAGCGACCATTATTTGTAACTGTTGGGTCCTATGCTGTCGTTGTCGTTGGTTTAGACCCAAGATTGCGGAGCATGAAGTGAGAGATTTGTATGGTGTGCCAAAACAAGGGAATGTGTAATTCGCTCTCCCGCTGACCCAATGATAATTCCTGTTTACATTTGTTTTTTATAATATAGACCTGCAAATCACAGCCCAAATACCTTATTTGGCTGTGAGTATTTAATCCTGATGTTGATTACCTATGTCAAACATGACACTCGTGAATCTAGCTAACCTATTTTCTTTGTTACATATTTACGTGAAGTAGAAGGGGTTTTGGCGACGGTTATGCCCCATAAGTGACAAAAATCAAAAGGTTGCTCATCAGATTATGCTATATCGTTAAAACACTTAGCAACAGCATACTACAGTCAAGCAAGGACCCAGTACTAAATTTAACTCATTTGTATCCAAACGATGATTGAAATGAGAAAGAAAAAGCAGATCTGTGGAAATGATGATCTAAATGTAGCCCGTCTCTGCCAGAAAGGACTTTAATTAAAACATGAATTTACCCAGTCGGCCGTGAATTATCCTATGTGTACGCGATGAATGGACCGTAGGACGTCATGGAACATAATGCTCTCTACAGCATTTTCCCATGAACGTGTACACCAAATTGGATGCATGCGACTTTTTACACGATGCGGATCTTTCAGAGAGATTTTCTGAGAAAAGTGGTTCTTACAAATGGATTTCTGCAGTGCAAGAAATAAGATGATTTTAAAGGGTAAATCTTACAGATTCATCACTTTTATCCAATGATTTAAAGGCTGAAGTGCATAAAGCGCCACATTAGGCACGAGAATATGTGCTCTTTCCCGCATGGCGGGCAGTCCGGCGATAAATATCAGGGCCTACGTCCAAACTCCAGCCCTATAAGTAATCCTAGTCCTTATGATTAAACCGAATAACAAATAAATATTCGGCCAGATGCTTTTAATGTGACTACTTTTGAAATGCAGTTCAGCCACCTGGCATTTATTGTGTATTTTGGCCTCATAAGCAGTAACATGCCGGTTTACCTTACATGTGTTCCTAAATCCGTTGTTTAATGTGCCGTTACTACTTGACTTACGATTCTGGGATGTGAGACGACCACGTGAGGCCGGCAACGAGCAAGGTGGATATGTGATGCGCGTTCCTACTGACACGCAGGCCTTTCATGCCTGAATATGCTTCCCGCAATGTGAGCCTGTAAGTCACAGCTCAGTTATTCCATGTGGGTCAATTTTCACTTTTTGGGAATGTTGTTAGTCCTGTAAATCATTGCACATATCTATACTACTGGCTGCCTGTTGGCGGTTTGTGAATATTAAGCGGTTATTCTGCAGTAGCTGAAGGATTTCAGCTAAAATATTAATATCCAACTTTGGAGCGTGCCTGAAAAGGCCCGTTTCGAAAAATTGACTCCAGTTTGCGCATTAATTTCCTCGGAAATTAAACAAGGCAAGTTGAAACTGAAGTTCATATACCGGAAAGCACACGGGGGAAGCTGGGAGACCCATTGACGGGCCGAACCCCTTGCAGCTGGGTCAGGCAGCTACATAAGATCCGCGAAACACGCGTGTCTGGGTTTTTAACTAATACCTGTGAATCATTGCACAGTGAACTTATCCATGCCTTACCGATCAGCATTATGCCATCAAGTGATCGACTGTTTTAAGGCTAGCGTGATGGCAGACATGAATGAAGTATGAAATACTTGTTTGGCTTACCTCTCTCTCGGCATACTCTGGTTGCTTTTTCACATTCTTCTTCTGTTGGAAAATTGTTTGCATTTCCGCCGCAACCGCTATATATGTATTCCTTGCATTTGCCGATCTTAGGATCGTATGCATATCTCCCGTCAAATGAGTCGCAAGTACCGATCTCGAACTGCATGCGGCATATATCCGAGACAGCTAGAGCATAAAGTTATAAAAACGGCGATGAGTAACTTTTAGACATTTCAATTGATCCAATCAGATGTTTTACTTCTCGAATGGCGACTAGAAGACAAGCGTCTCGTAAGGGCTATCTACACCCCGAGGTAAGTTCCGATTAGGTTAACCATTTTAAACAATCGGATCGTTTAATATGTCTCCTTGCAATGCAACAAGACAGTAACTATTCAGAGCAATCATATTTTGTTTCCATAATATGGTTTAACACTGCTTGTCGCGATGAGCAAACTAAGTATTTTGAGGAGACAGAGAGACCGGAGTTCATTGTTCCCTAAAACACACACTCACCGTCGTCCGCTCCGAATGCACACGCTGCCGTAAATAGGAGAATGAGGAGCGCCATTGCCTGTTTGAAAGTCTTTTACTGCCTGAGATTCCTTTTATACGAGATCATTTCATGCTATTTTTAAGCTTGATTACCTACCTGATTTTGTTATGCAACGGAGAGCTTTCTAATGTTTTTATCTTCTCCCACGAACACAGCCCCGTGCCGTCGTTGGCTACGCGCATTCCAGAGTCACGGTTTCGCCATCATAAGGCATGGATCCTCATATTATTGCGAACAGAAATCTGCTGTCTCTGTGTTTTGTCAGCTGAAAGACCGGTTGAGCCGCCCTGCCTAGTCAGTATACGGCAAAGTATGTGTTGTTGCCAATGTGTTACCGCGCCTTCCCCGGCACTGGCTCGCAAGCGCAGACTACTTTTTCACTAGTTTGACATTTCACAGTCCTACCTCCGTGCGTTGAAAACCCAGACTGAATGAAACAAGTTCATCTGAAGTGGAAAGTGATTGGTGAAGTGAGTGAACCAAACATCAAAAGTTGCCCCCCCCCCGCGGCAGCCGGAAGTCCGCAAAAGTCCTATTAGGCATGCTTACCATTGGGTACATGGTAAGCAGGGATAAGCTACAAAACAGGCACGAGGCAATTAGGGTTCGGCTTGAACAAACGTTTTGCCAGTCGTCTGTGCAGTGTTCGAGAAGGAAATTTCATTTAAATAGTTTCCATAAATCGATCTAATTATCGACTGGATAAAATTATTTATTATCTAAAACCATCCACAACCATACATATATATAGGTGGTGGGCTAACTCATGAAATGTCAACTAAAATGTCGAAATGCGTTTTCGTTTCAAAAAGATTAATTCAGAATTGTTGTAAAACTAGTCAGCATGCAACATAATTTTATAATAATTCAGTTACCGCGGGGTGCCGGCTTTCGAATGAACTTCCCCCCGGCTGCATGCATATAGTGCATTCGCTAAAAACCACTGCTGAGAAAACATGAATTTTTCTCTTTGATTTTCAATGTCCTTAAATATTTAATTAAATATCATAGAAAACATATATAAAAATATTCATTCTTTCACTCATTCGGAGAAACTAAGGTCTTCTTCCAATCCTATAGTTGAAGTAAGGATACAATTTGGTTTTCAAAAACTTTTCGGATTCGCGAATAATTTTGAAACCGCTGTAACGTTACAGTTGGATTTCAGGTTTCAAAACTACAAGCCGTATATTTTCCGCGTACGGAAAACTTCGCAGTTCTCTACATTAATAAAGGGGGACCATATAGGTTGCATAAAATTTATCAGTTGATTTAAACCATAATGTTACCTTTAAAGTCCACATTTGTAAATGCGGAGATATGACGATTTATGAACGACCATTTCACGGTAATTAAAAGTCTCACAATAAGAAACTTTTTTAAAACCGTGTTATGTTTCTTGTTCGAGTATAAAATTAGAAGAAGCCATATTTTCTATAGAGCTAGCAAAAGAATGGATATTTTATTCATTTTTTCTATGATATATAATTAAATTTTAAGGGCATTGAAGATCAGTAAGAAACATTCATGCTAATTAAGTGGTCGGTTTTTGCAGACTGCAGTTTTCGCCTGCAGGCGGAAGGAAGTTCGTTCGAACGCCTACACTCCGAGGTAACTGAAATATTATAGAATTATTTTGCAAGCTGACTACTTTTACAACACTACTTAATTAATCTTTTCGAAACAAAAACGAAGTTCATAATTTCGGTTTACATTTCATAAGAAATTCCACCTTCTGACGTTGTGGTGGTCGCCAACCATTCTAGCCTCTGAGATTACATGATCTCATCTCCTAATAGGCGGTTTTGTGGTCTTTGATTTAATTCCTTATTTCGCTCCCATGCAATCTATTGATAAGTTTTGCTACATCTTCTTTATTCGCCACATGCTAGTGGTTATGTGAGTCAGCAAACAGGTCTGAGTGTCGCATTCCCCATTAACCTTCAAAGAACGTATCAGCCATTAGAAGAAGAAAACATAATCATTGGAACAAGAAGTTTACTTACTTGGCGTATCGGACTCACACTCTAACCCGTCATCAGAGACGGTTGCAGACGATTGTTCTTTATTTCCAACCGTCCCTTATAATTATTCGGAGTGAGGATCTCAAACTCCAGGCCAAAAACATCTCGTTCTAGTTTTCGCATTTTCTTCTTCATGTGAACTACTTCCTGGAACCTGCCTATTCGTTTCTGTAGGCCTCAGTCTTTAATATCCATTTCACGGCTGGACTCTAAGCGGAATATGAGGTGGTCGCATCAGGTCTCGTCTCTTCTCGCGAGTTTCATGTAGATAATGTTACTTCCGTTAGGAATTCTGCCTTGTAGATGTCCATTTCGAATCACTTGCACACTAAAACATGCAGGCTCGCTTGAAATCAGTCAAATAACCTTGATTTTTTCCTTTTCAAAAAAGAAGTTTTTTACTGTTGCTAATCGTTTCTAAAATACAACTGTGTATTATATAAACACGAACGGAATGCTGCAGATAGTTTGTCTACTTGTCCTAGAATATGGTTGAAGATTTACCTCGAATTACTACGATATCACCGTTTCCCTGGAGTGATTAATACAAAACATGTTGTATTATGGTTATTTTGTGTTGGGGCCATCGCTGATGGCTGTTTGATGGTTTTTAAGGTAAACTGTGTCTATAATCGGTAGTCAATTAAAAGCATGGGATGGTTGACTCCGCTATTGAATGACTGACACAAATATCCAGGCACTTATATAGTTAGTGACCTAAATCATGAACAATGTCGAAATTTACGAATGATTGCCAATAACTCGCAAACCGACACCATTTCATGAGTCCACAGCTAAGTTAATTGAGTACAAGTTTAAGAGAATTACAAACAGTGTTACCTTGTTTGAAACGGCCGATTTATTTTGAAAAGCGCAATATCCCGAGAACGTCAGCAATGGTTTTTATTTAGAAAACTACATTTTAAGATGTTTAAAATGTATTTTCCTACCAAAACATAGTAAATATAAAAGTAAAAATATAATAACTTCTAATAATAGTGTTCCAATTACGTTTTCCTTTAAATGTGATTTAAAATTTAGTGCAATTTTATTTATGACGCTTTGTGAACGGCTCACATATTGGGTGTAGATTCTAAAACATATTTCCCAGGTTTCGTATTATTCTTGAATATTTTGAGTTGAATGAGATGGGGTTTAATAAAAGAAACTGGATTTTGCTTGAGTGCACCCATATGGACGTCGTAGGAACACAATTTTTCATTATATGACGTGTCATGAGGCCGGTCGGTGCCTAATAAACTGAAAAAATACTAACGGGCTTCCGTTAAATGGATTTATACTTTTACTTCGTTTTGGACTACGTCGAGTTACAGATCGGATTCCAAATGTTGTTGAATACTTCAAGGTTTTTAGTGTTTTCAGCCTATAGCAAGTCGATATAACATGCTCAAGCAACAAACCTACTATGACGGTATTTGTCCCATCCTGAAAAGGACATTAGATAAAGAAGCGATTTTACTTGACACGACCTGATTCACCTCTCTAATTTGTTATTTCCTAAACATAAATATACATTGTGAATAATCGGTGTGCTTTCGCGCGAGAATGGTCTCTTTTCCCCTCTCTTATTTGTTCATTTACCTAACAAAACTGCTAAGTTTGAAAAATCAGTAGGCTTTCACGCAAGTATGGTCTTTATGAATGAAAGACACCATGTCCAGATTAGAAACAAACACCTTCTTGCTGTTCTGGCTGTGTTCACACCTGCCTGTGCCATGATGCCAGAAATTCTGGCTTGCATTGCTTATTGAGACATCTTTCATTTCAATAATTTATTTGATGCGATTGTTTGGGATTAAACCCTTAATCAGTGGATATATTCACACGGTCCTAATTTTGGAACGCAGAAGGCAATTTATCAATCCCTGTTTCATGTGCAACGATCGGCTATTGTGGTGTTTATAAATTGTGGGTTAAAAACTCATGCATGCGTGGTCAACTGGATATTTTCCGCCAAATTATATTCCTCGCAGTTGTGTGCAGCGCTTTTGGAAAAGATGAAGTCTTGCAAACTTGGATTTTCAAAAAACGTAGAATTTTGCTAGTTTTCTTTACATCAAGTGAGATTAAAATTTCATCATTTCAAAGGATCAGCATCCAATGCTATTCACTGGGTTTACAATTATAGAGTTTAATAGTAGTTTGGAGTTTAAAGAGAACAGCGATTATGTCTACATTAAACAGCTGCATGTATATGTGGAAGTGCGTTTTGCCAAATAGGAAGTACACTGTTTTTTTATTGTCCGTCTTGTTTATAGCATGTGATCGTGGACGACCTCGAAATTTCCAATCCGAGCACCGGATCTCACTGTGTCGCGCCAATCGACTGCTGGGAAGTCGTTAAACGTAAGATATACAGCTCAATTTTTGATCTTCAACACTTAACCTAAACAAAATAACGTCACGTAATTTGCTCGTTTTTTGTCAAATTTTAGCAACAATTAATTTAGGATCATACCGGATTGAAAATAGAATATCTTTTGTGAGGCGATTTGGTAGAATATTGAAGTGGGGTAAACTCAGCTCTATGTGATAATCACACATGAGGATAAAAATTTAAGTCAGTCACTTCTTATTTTCTCGTGAATTACGTAATGTCCAATCTATATTTTCCCCCGAAGCGGAAAAATTGCTGGTCGCATAAGGTTTTCTCAAAGGATCCAGCGGAACATTTACTCTGCAACCGATGAACGTCTCTGACCGATATCCGGTTGGAATTCAGTATAAAAAGGTTGGCACGCCAGAATTTAATTGGAAGAATACATGTCCTTTAACCTATTCAATTTATATGACATTTTCTAAATTACGGCCGCAACCTACAGCAGGCATTTGCCTTTTACTTGTGGCTGCCTAGCAGTTAGATACATTTAATTAACAGAGACTGTTCTACTGCTTATTTTCGAATATTGAATCCGTCTAAGTATATAAATTCACCACGTTGGTGGTCGACCTACCGAGTTGAATACGTGC